CCAGTCTTAGCGGTGTTACATGAGACGTTACGGGCGGCGCCATGGCCAGCCTCACCCGGAATAGGACCTACGACATCGGGGTCTCCTCACCTCCAATGTTATTTTTGGTGTGGTTGATGTTATAGGAGTGGACGTCCTGGGTGTAGAGGCGTCCACCCCGGTAATACCGGACCCCCAGTGACGCTGTGAGTGACACTGCCAGAGTTGCTGAGGTTCCTGTATTGTTGCTGAGGACCCTGTATTGTTGCTGAGGTCTCTGTGTTGTTGCTGAGGTCTCTGTGTTGTTCCTGAGGTCCCTGTGTTGTTGTTGAGGTCCCTGTGTTGTTGCTGAGGTCTCTGTGTTGTTCCTGAGGTCCCTGTGTTGTTGTTGAGGTCCCTGTGTTGTTCCTGAGGTCCCTGTGTTGTTGTTGAGGTCCCTGTGTTGTTGCTGAGGTCTCTGTGTTGTTCCTGAGGTCCGTGTGTTGTTGTTGAGGTCCCTGTGTTGTTCCTGAGGTCCCTGTGTTGTTCCTGAGGTCCCTGTGTTGTTCCTGAGGTCCCTGTGTTGATGCTGAGGACCCTGTATTGTTGCTGAGGTTCCTGTGTTGATGCTGAGGTCCCTGTGTTGATGCTGAGGTCCCTGTGTTGTTCCCGAGGTCTCTGTGTTAGTGCTGAGGTCCCTGTGTTGTTCCCGAGGTCCCTGTGTTAGTGCTGAGGTCCCTGTGTTGTTGCTGAGGTCCCTGTGTTGATACCGAGGTCCCTGTGTTGTTCCCGAGGTCCCTGTGTTGATGCTGAGGTCCCTGTGTTGATACTGAGGTCCCTGTGTTGATATTAAGGTCCCTGTGTTGATATTGAGGTCCCTGTGTTGTTGTTGAGGTCCCTGTGTTGATACTGAGGTCCCTGTGTTGATGCTGAGGTCCCTGTGTTGATATTGAGGTCCCTGTGTTGATGCTGAGGTCCCTGTGTTGTTGATGAGGTCCCTGTGTTGTTGCTGAGGTCCCTGTGTTGCTGCCGAGGTCCCTGTGTTGATGCTGAGGTCCCTGTGTTGATATTGAGGTCCCTGTGTTGATATTGAGGTCCCTGTGTTGATATTGAGGTCCTTGTGTTGATACTGAGGTCCCTGTGTTGATACTGAGGTCTCTGTGTTGATGCTGAGGTCCCTGTGTTGATGCTGAGGTCCCTGTGTTGATATTGAGGTCCTTGTGTTGATACTGAGGTCCCTGTGTTGATACTGAGGTCTCTGTGTTGATGCTGAGGTCCCTGTGTTGATGCTGAGGTCCCTGTGTTGATGCTGAGGTCCCTGTGTTGATATTGAGGTCCCTGTGTTGATGCTGAGGTCCCTGTGTTGTTGTTGAGGTCCCTGTGTTGATACTGAGGTCCGTGTGTTGTTGCTGAGGTCCCTGTGTTGTTGCTGAGGTCCCTGTGTTGTTGCTGAGGTCCCTGTGTTGATGCTGAGGTCCCTGTGTTGTTGCTGAGGTCCTTGTGCTCCTGGGCAACATATGGGTAAAGTGCCGTCATCCTCCGTAACAACTGTAACGTGGAAGATGAAGGTCGCTGATTGGCTGGAAAGCACTTGAGTAGTGGAAGCTGGAGGCTGGAGATGTAGTTCGTTGCTCTTCCATTTTTAGGTGGGAATTCTACTTGCAACGGCCAGCAAGAGGCCCATAGACAGTGAGAGTGAGAAGCAGTAGAGGACGGGCAGCTTCTGTGTCTTCCTTACTCTGCTCCTCCACACCGACCGGCCAGCAAGCCGGTGAAGCCAGGGGCGACGTCGTGAATGGCGGCCAGTTTGTACAGACCACAAGGAATTACGAAGTCCAGTGGAGAAAGAGGAACTATTAGGTATGGCAGTAGAGGCAATATTGGGTGTGGCAGGAGAGGCAATATTGGGTGTGGCAGGAGAGGCAATATTGGGTGTGGCAGTAGAGGCAATATTGGGTGTTGCAGGAGAGGCAATATTGGGTGTGGCAGTAGAGGCAATATTGGGTGTGGCAGTAGAGGCAATATTAGGTGTGGCAGGAGAGGCAATATTGGGTGTGGCAGTAGAGGCAATATTGGGTGTGGCAGGAGAGGCAATATTGGGTGTGGCAGGAGAGGCAATATTGGGTGTGGCAGTAGAGGCAATATTAGGTGTGGCAGGAGAGGCAATATTAGGTGTGGCAGGAGAGGCAATATTAGGTGTGGCAGGAGAGGCAATATTAGGTGTGGCAGGAGAGGCAATATTGGGTGTGGCAGGAGAGGCAATATTGGGTGTGGCAGGAGAGGCAATATTGGGTGTGGCAGTAGAGGCAATATTGGGTGTGGCAGTAGAGGCAATATTGGGTGTGGCAGGAGAGGCAATATTGGGTGTGGCAGTAGAGGCAATATTGGGTGTGGCAGTAGAGGCAATATTGGGTGTGGCAGGAGAGGCAATATTGGGTGTGGCAGGAGAGGCAATATTGGGTGTGGCAGGAGAGGCAATATTGGGTGTGGCAGTAGAGGCAATATTGGGTGTGGCAGTAGAGGCAATATTGGGTGTGGCAGTAGAGGCAATATTGGGTGTGGCAGTAGAGGCAATATTGGGTGTGGCAGCAGAGGCAATATTGGGTGTGGCAGGAGAGACAATATTGGGTGTGGCAGTAGAGGCAATATTGGGTGTGGCAGTAGAGGCAATATTGGGTGTGGCAGTAGAGGCAATATTAGGAGTCGCAGGAGAGGCAATATTGGGTGTGGCAGGAGAGGAAGTTGGGGTATAGCTCCCACTTCCTGGCACGCCGGCAAGAGACCGACAGAGGCGGGATTTGCTGTGATTTCATTATGACGTTCAGTATATCGTCAAGCGTTGCAGTATTTAGGGGGGCCTGACAGCTGAGTGGACAGCGCTCGGGGTTCGTAGTACTAAGGGTCCGGGTTCGATCACCAGCGGAGGCGAAAACAAATAGGCTGAGTTTCTTTCACCCTGATGCAACTGTACACCTTGCTGTAAATAGGTACCTGGGAGTTAGACAGCTGCTACAGGCTGCTTCCTGGGAATGTGTGTGTGAAAATTAGGATTAAGGACTCGCTCGAAACGCTATGCGTGCTAGTGACCGCACAAGACTGTAGAGAACTGTATATATGCAAACAAGCCTGAATGGTCCCCAGGACAATATGCAACTGAAAACTCACACCCCAGAAGTGACTCGAACCCATACTCCCAGAAGCAACGCAACTGGTATGTACAAGACGCCTTAATCCACTTGACCATCACGACCGGACATAATGAGGTGATAGCCGAGGCTATTTGAACCACCCCACCGCCGGCACTCGGATAGTAATCTTGGATTACTATCCAAGATTACTATCAAGTAACAAGATTACTTGGATTACAAGTAATCCAAGATTACTATCCGAGTGCCGGCGGTGGGGTGGTTCAAATAGCCTCGGCTATCACCTCATTATGTCCGGTCGTGATGGTCAAGTGGATTAAGGCGTCTTGTACATACCAGTTGCGTTGCTTCTGGGAGTATGGGTTCGAGTCACTTCTGAACTGTATATATATATATATATATATATATATATATATATCTTTATAAATAAAAATGTAAATGTTCGTTTGTTCATAACCGCTAATCTCTGAAAGTTCTTCACCGATTGCTTTGAAATTTTCACACAACGTTCCATTCGTATCCGATCAAGTTTTATATACGTACTGTATAGATGTCACGTCTGTGACGATAAAAAAAAAAACGTCTTGTTTTTTTAACTGTGTTTTTCATGTGAGGGAAATCTTCGAAACCTCTTTACCGATTTCTTTGAAATTTTGACACAATGTTGTACTCAAATAGGCGCGTCTTTTAATATGCATACTATATACATGCCTCACCTGTGACAGGAAAAAACATTCGTTTTTTTTTTAAACAGCGCCATCTGTTGGACGTAGTAGCAACACACGCTGTAATCTCTGCAAGTTCTTCACAGATTGCTTTGAAATTTTGACACAACGTTCCATTCGAATACGCGCGTGTTTTTATATACCTACTATATAGATGCAACCCCTGTGACAGGTAAAAACATGCGTTTTTGTAAAACAGCGCCATCTGTTGCACATAAGGCTAACACACGCTATACTAATTATGTTACAATTCTATTTCAATGTTTCTGATTTCATTGATAAATTGAATTATCATAGATTTCGATTTATTTTCATTTTGATTTAATTTCTTTGTATGACATTGCGTTAGAATTGAGCTGTGTTGTTTACCATACCGTTCATTTCCTGAGTATAGTTTATTTTTTTTCATTGTTTTTCATTTCGTTTTTTTAAATGTTTTTCTTATATTTCAGTGATGGGAAAATCTGGGGCCAGATTCACGAAGCAGTTACGCAAATACTTACGAACGTGTATATCTCTCCTCAATCTTTGATGCCTTTGGTTATATTTATTAAACAGTTTACAAGCATGAAAACTTGCCAATTGACTGTTGTTATTGTTATAAACAGCCTCCTGGTGCTTCGGAGCTCATTAACTGTTTAATAATTGTAAACAAAGCCGCCAAAGATTGAGAAAAGATGGACAGGTTCGTAAGTGTTTGCGTAACTTCTTTGTGAATCTAGCCACAGATCATTTGATGTTCCCAATTATCTGATGGGAACATCAGATCATTTGATCATCAGATGAGGGAGTGAGGAATGATGGGAAGGACGAGGGGACGGAAGTGAGGGATGGTGGGGAGGACGAGGGGACAGGGGGAGGTTGCTGTGGCTCAGCAATGCACATGCGTTGCTTAGCCACAGCAACGCGTGGCCGGGTACAGCTAGTAAATTAATAAAAATCATATAGTATTTATAGAGTTCATCATATCTTTACCCAAGGGGGCGAAAGTCTGCCTATATAGGACTTTTTACAATATAATGTTCAATGGAGTGCATGTTTTCTCTTTCACAATGTTGACACATCGTGTAGTTGACACTTTCACAATGTTGACACATGGTGTAGTCGACACTTTCACAAAGTGTAGAGATGGTGTGGTGTGGTGATGCTGACCGGTGGTGTGGTGTTGCAGGTGTCGGCTGTGTACACCCCTGGGGTGTGATGGAGCTGGGGCAGCGAGTGTACCCGCCAGGGTGTCGTCGGGTGGTGTGCAAGACCTTCGCTGGCAGACCCATCCTTGAGGAGCAGTTGTGAGTCCCCCACCTCTTACACTCCGGTACTTGGAGTGCCTTTTGTCTGTCCGAACTGAAGCACTTGTGGCTTGACATTATCATACACTCATTCCTTATTATTGTTTCTTTATATTAATTATTATTATTTTGTAGCAAATGTCTTGACCCATTTACTACCTTGCCTAGGCCTAGTTGAGTACATATCCTAAATGGTTCCTGTAGCACAGTGATCTATGTCCTCAGCTCACACTCGAGGGCCCCGGGTTCAATCCTCGGGCAGGCTAGAAACGGTTAGGCACGTTTTCTTCCACCTGATGTCTCAGAGTTAAATAATAGCTGCATGCTTCATCCTGAAGGAACATCATAACTAGACCAAGATGGACCTCCATAACCCTAAGTACAGGCTTCCTGCCCCCGAGAAGGGGATTATATATGTGCTAAATTAAGCCTTAGATTCTGTATATTGGTCCTACATGTCATTGTCTTCAGTATACCAGCAGTTGAAAACGCAAACTTTTACAGTTACAACTGTCATTATTTTGTACAGTTCATCACTAGTTGCTATTGGTACTATAACTCTGCACGACGAGCTAATGACAGTCCAACACCATCATTTCTCTTTTTCTGGGCCAATATTCACAAGGTTCCCATACTTCTGGGTCAGTACTCACACGTCCCCCCATACTTCTGGGTCAGTACTTACACGTCCCCCATACTTCTGGGTCAGTACTCACACGTCCCCCCATACTTCTGGGTCAGTACTCACACGTCCCCCCATACATCTGGGTCAGTACTCACACGTCCCCCCATACTTCTGGGTCAGTACTCACACGTCCCCCCATACTTCTGGGTCAGTACTCACACGTCCCCCCATACTTCTGGGTCAGTACTCACACGTCCCCCATACTTCTGGGTCAGTACTCACACGCCCCCCCATACTTCTGGGTCAGTACTCACACGTCCCCCCATACATCTGGGTCAGTACTCACACGTCCCCCCATACTTCTGGGTCAGTACTCACACGTCCCCCCATACTTCTGGGTCAGTACTCACACGTCCCCCCATACTTCTGGGTCAGTACTCACACGTCCCCCATACTTCTGGGTCAGTACTCACACGTCCCCCCATACTTCTGGGTCAGTACTCACACGTCCCCCATACTTCTGGGTCAGTACTCACACGTCCCCCATACTTCTGGGTTAGTACTCACACGTCCCCCATACTTCTGGGTCAGTACTCACACGTCCCCCATACTTCTGGGTCAGTACTCACACGTCCCCCATACTTCTGGGTCAGTACTCACACGTCCCCCCATACTTCTGGGTCAGTACTCACACGTCCCCCATACTTCTGGGTCAGTACTCACACGTCCCCCATACTTCTGGGTCAGTACTCACACGTCCCCCATACTTCTGGGTCAGTACTCACACGTCCCCCATACTTCTGGGTCAGTACTCACACGTCCCCCATACTTCTGGGTCAGTACTCACACGTCCCCCATACTTCTGGGTCAGTACTCACACGTCCCCCATACTTCTGGGTCAGTACTCACACGTCCCCCATACTTCTGGGTCAGTACTCACACGTCCCCCATACTTCTGGGTCAGTACTCACACGTCCCCCATACTTCTGGGTCAGTACTCACACGTCCCCCATACTTCTGGGTCAGTACTCACACGTCCCCCATACTTCTGGGTCAGTACTCACACGTCCCCCATACTTCTGGGTCAGTACACGTCCCCCATACTTCTGGGTCAGTACTCACACGTCCCCCATACTTCTGGGTCACACGTCCCCCATACTTCTGGGTTCTGGGTCAGTACTCACACGTCCCCCCATACTTCTGGGTCAGTACTCACACGTCCCCCATACTTCTGGGTCAGTACTCACACGTCCCCCATACTTCTGGGTCAGTACTCACACGTCCCCCATACTTCTGGGTCAGTACTCACACGTCCCCCATACTTCTGGGTCAGTACTCACACGTCCCCCATACTTCTGGGTCAGTACTCACACGTCCCCCATACTTCTGGGTCAGTACTCACACGTCCCCCATACTTCTGGGTCAGTACTCACACGTCCCCCATACTTCTGGGTCAGTACTCACACGTCCCCCCATACTTCTGGGTCAGTACTCACACGTCCCCCATACTTCTGGGTCAGTACTCACACGTCCCCCATACTTCTGGGTCAGTACTCACACGTCCCCCATACTTCTGGGTCAGTACTCACACGTCCCCCCATACTTCTGGGTCTACTCACACGTCCCCCATACTTCTGGGTCAGTACTCACACGTCCCCCATACTTCTGGGTCAGTACTCACACGTCCCCCTTCTGGGTCAGTACTGGGTCAGTACTCACACGTCCCCCATACTTCTGGGTCAGTACTCACACGTCCCCCATACTTCTGGGTCAGTACTCACACGTCCCCCATACTTCTGGGTCAGTACTCACACGTCCCCCATACTTCTGGGTCAGTACTCACACGTCCCCCATACTTCTGGGTCAGTACTCACACGTCCCCCATACTTCTGGGTCAGTACTCACACGTCCCCCATACTTCTGGGTCAGTACTCACACGTCCCCCCATACTTCTGGGTCAGTACTCACACGTCCCCCATACTTCTGGGTCAGTACTCACACGTCCCCCATACTTCTGGGTCAGTACTCACACGTCCCCCATACTTCTGGGTCAGTACTCACACGTCCCCCATACTTCTGGGTCAGTACTCACACGTCCCCCATACTTCTGGGTCAGTACTCACACGTCCCCCATACTTCTGGGTCAGTACTCACACGTCCCCCCCCCCATACTTCTGGGTCAGTACTCACACGTCCCCCATACTTCTGGGTCAGTACTCACACGTCCCCCCATACTTCTGGGTCAGTACTCACACGTCCCCCATACTTCTGGGTCAGTACTCACACGTCCACCGTCCCCCCATACTTCTGGGTCAGTACTCACACGTCCCCCATACTTCTGGGTCAGTACTCACACGTCCCCCATACTTCTGGGTCAGTACTCACACGTCCCCCATACTTCTGGGTCAGTACTCACACGTCCCCCCATACTTCTGGGTCAGTACTCACACGTCCCCCATACTTCTGGGTCAGTACTCACACGTCCCCCATACTTCTGGGTCAGTACTCACACGTCCCCCCATACTTCTGGGTCAGTACTCACACGTCCCCCATACTTCTGGGTCAGTACTCACACGTCCCCCATACTTCTGGGTCAGTACTCACACGTCCCCCATTCTTCTGGGTCAGTACTCACACGTCCCCCATACATCTGGGTCGGTACTCACACGTCTCCCATACTTCTGGGTCAGTACTCACACGTCCCCCCATACTTCTGGGTCAGTACTCACACGTCCCCCATACTTCTGGGTCAGTACTCACACGTCCCCCCATACTTCTGGGTCAGTACTCACACGTCCCCCATACTTCTGGGTCAGTACTCACACGTCCCCCATACTTCTGGGTCAGTACTCACACGTCCCCCATACTTCTGGGTCAGTACTCACACGTCCCCCATACTTCTGGGTCAGTACTCACACGTCCCCCATACTTCTGGGTCAGTACTCACACGTCCCCCATACTTCTGGGTCAGTACTCACACGTCCCCCCATACTTCTGGGTCAGTACTCACACGTCCCCCATACTTCTGGGTCAGTACTCACACGGCCCCCATACTTCTGGGTCAGTACTCACACGTCCCCCATACTTCTGGGTCAGTACTCACACGTCCCCCATACTTCTGGGTCAGTACTCACACGTCCCCCCATACTTCTGGGTCAGTACTCACACGTCCCCCCATACTTCTGGGTCAGTACTCACACGTCCCCCATACTTCTGGGTCAGTACTCACACGTCCCCCCATACTTCTGGGTCAGTACTCACACGTCCCCCATACTTCTGGGTCAGTACTCACACGTCCCCCATACTTCTGGGTCAGTACTCACACGTCCCCCATACTTCTGGGTCAGTACTCACACGTCCCCCATACATCTGGGTCAGTACTCACACGTCTCCCATACTTCTGGGTCAGTACTCACACGTCCCCCCATACTTCTGGGTCAGTACTCACACGTCCCCCATACTTCTGGGTCAGTACTCACACGTCCCCCCATACTTCTGGGTCAGTACTCACACGTCCCCCCATACTTCTGGGTCAGTACTCACACGTCCCCCCATACTTCTGGGTCAGTACTCACACGTCCCCCATACTTCTGGGTCAGTACTCCCCCACACGTACTCACACGTCCCCCATACTTCTGGGTCAGTACTCACACGTCCCCCATACTCTGGGTCAGTACTCACACGTCCCCCATACTTCTGGGTCAGTACTCACACGTCCCCCATACTTCTGGGTCAGTACTCACACGTCCCCCATACTTCTGGGTCAGTACTCACACGTCCCCCCATACTTCTGGGTCAGTACTCACACGTCCCCCCATACTTCTGGGTCAGTACTCACACGTCCCCCATACTTCTGATTCCCAACTTTGCCCCTCTAGATCATAATGATAATTTTAATGATACAAGATCTTTAGTTTCAGGGATATATACAATAATAAACTCCTCCTTGACTCTCCCGCCCACAGCTGCGACCCGCTCCCGGAGAGGCTCCCCGCCACCTGCTCCGTCAGACACCGTCCAGAGAAACGCCATCCTGACTGCTGTCCTCGGGTCATATGCGCCCCTGGGTCGCAGACCTACGGCTGGGACCCCAGTGTCTCCCTGGGTGTCCCCAAGAGGCGCTATCAACCGACACTCAGCCACATTCACGCCCACCTCAGCACTAAACCATCCTTGAGACCATCTTCCACAAACGAGTCTTACCCCAGGATGGTCGGGTACCCGAAGACTCCCAAGCTTCCGCTCTCTGTGGCGATGACTTCTTCTCCGTCAGTCATCACCTCCGAGGTCATCTACGGGAAGGGGTACTCAGACCCCTGGACTGGACAGTCGCAGTTATCAACGGAGAGTAATTTACAGGAGAGGCGGGAGAACCTGCCTTATCAGGATCTTCCATTGTGGGAAGAACCATCGTCATTTGCATTAGACCCGCTCAGCAATAACATAAGAGTCTCTGATACTGAGGATAACATCAGAGTCTCAGATGTTGAGGATAACATCAGAGTCTCAGATGTTGAGGATAACATCAGAGTCTCAGATGTTGAGGATCATATCAGAGGCTCGGATGTTGAGGATAACATCAGAGTCTCAGATGTTGAGGATAACATCAGAGCCTGGGACGTTGAGGATAATATCAGCGGCTCAGATGTTGAGGATAACATCAGAGCCTGGAATGTTGAGGATCATATCAGAGGCTCGGATGTTGAGGATAATGTTTCTGCGTACATTCAGAGCGATAAAGATGCTCTACTGGACGAGGCTGAACAGAGGGAATTCGCCAATCTTTACTTTGCTACACCAGGCCCTCGAGACGCCCAGTTGGAACCCACCACGACGCCACAAACACTCGTCTCATATTGGCACTTCAGCGAAGCCAATGATGTCCGAACATCACCTCATCCTATCCGGGATTACTCCAGTTTTTTACCAATAACCAAACTATTTTCTACAACTCGCCTTCCAATGAGGAAACTGACAACCAAACTTACGACAGAGTCGTCTATTGCCAAACTCAGTAATAGTTACACAGAGTGGAAACCAATAACTAAAATAGTCACTGCATACCCGTTTTCTGTGAAGGAACCAACGGCTTCCACCACGCCAAGATGGGGTTGGTCGCCAAACACAGCAGAGAGCAGTGTTGAGGCCTCCTCTACAGTGGCATCCCGGTATTATCCCACTAAGAGACCTAATCATCAGACACCATTCTACTCGAGCACCAGGGTCGAGCTGAGGAAGCCATATGCCCCCACAAAACCAAGTCAAATTAGAACTTCTTCCTCTGACTTTGATGTCTACAAGAGAGTGAGCAGACGCCCAGCACATCGTTCCCATGTCGTTAAGAGGCCGGGAGCCAACAAGGTTCCCACGCCAAGACCCAGCGGGGAGTTCACCAGAACCACGCCCGCTTCGTATGAGTTTGCGACGCCCAAATTAAATCCCAGCAAACACGACATCCACGAATTCATCCTGACGCCATTGGATCCATCTCAGCTCATCCCTGGTCATGACGAATATCTTCAAGCTAAATACGACGCCATGAGGGAGTACCTTGCCTCATCAGAAGAAAAGGTACACTCCAAAATAAGCAGACGATCTCTTCCATATACTGAAGCCACAACAGCATATGAGCACTCCAGCACAGTGTCGTCAGCGTCTCCAGACGCTCCATTCTCACCAACACCTAAAGCACCATCAACGGAGATCGTAAGGGAGAAGAAACGTAAACCTGTGTTTTATATTCCTTGGAGAGAAAACTTAACCTCGCGGCCCACGACGCCTCCAGCTTATTCTCACGATTATGAAGATGACGACCCAACAACATCTGCTAGGTCCTTCCCTCAAGCGGAACTTGTGATGTTAGGTTTCAACCAAGCCACCACCTTGGCAACGGCTATACCATCTAACGATTATACAACCTCCCACATATTTACTGGTGCTGGGATTGAGGTCCCACATGTCGAAACAGTTTACAAAACATATTCACAAACTAATAATGAAGATTTGTACTCCGCTCAGAAGTCGAAGGAAACAATGGTAGAAGTAGCTGTCATTGGATTAAATCACCAAAATAATGATGAGCTGATGGGTTTGGAAGACATAGATGACGTACCTGGAGAACTGACAACGACGAGAGCAGCTACGACACTAGCAACTGTCAGGCCTACCACCACCCTTCCCGAAAACCTGCAACACACTTTTGCTTCACCTGCAAAACACATTAACGCCACAGATGTGTTTCTTTCTGAAAATAGAGAGTTGAGCCATTACTCCCGGGAGAGTAATAACGACGGTGCAACGGCATCAGGTGATGACTACCAGAAGCCACAAAGAATTGCCTGGTCACCTCCACCATTTAGACCAAGTCGCAATCAAAGCCCAAGCGTTGAAATTACTAAGACACAGATACACGTGTCTGCTGATGAAAGCTTCTCTGATAAAGATTATATGGGAATTCTCGAGTATGAACCAAGAAAACAATATAACGGCTCTCAGGGCTCGAGCATTGGGAAACTTGTTGGATTCGAGAAGGGACCGGATGAAGGGAGTGAGCTTTGGAGGAGCAGGGTGATCCAGGCACCGACTCGGAGACCACAGCTGGAGGCGGAGAGAGGCGGCGAGGTCTCCGCAAGCAATAAACGAAAAATTATGGAAACTAAATATGGCGGAACAATGAGACAAGAGGAGTCAAAGATCATAGAGAAGGAAAATATGAGTACATACCGTCCAGGGCAATTGACACTTGGGACATCTAGTTATCCCTATGTTACTGAGTCTCCCACCAGCACCACGCCTCCCAGCACGGCAGGAGAACTAAAAGACGCCATTGTCCAGTCCGGGATTTATGAAAATAAACTAAACATTCAACAGGAAATGGCAACCATGAAAGTAGACACCAAGACTGTAACACATTCAACTAGATCGACGAATGCTGAAATGCTGCCATTTAATAAATGGGATGACACACACACGAGTGAGTCCCAGCATCAGGAGTGGCTAAGAGGCTCAAATTTGAGTTCTGTTTTCCCACTGGATGATGAAGAGAAGGAAAGTGAAGAAGGTTTCTCTCATGCAATTAGACTTCATTCCATGTTAAAATTGTCGAAGCCTCCGGAACGCAGCAAAATGGATGGAGAGGAAGGTGCTACTCCTTCCACTGGTGGTTTGCTCTCCTCACCTCCTTCAGACTCCAGGCTCTATCCAAAACTCGTAAAGGAACTAGAGAAGTTGCATCCCTCGACGCCGACGACAAAGAACCTACGGAGAAGAAGACCTCTCATTGCTTCTCGCACCTCTCTGCCAAACCTAAATCCCCAATCCAAAACCAGTTCACTGCAACACGAAGCAAATATTGTACCCATAAACAAGTCACAAATGCAATTGCCCACTCAACACAACCTTCAAATACACACATTCACACCTACAAGAAGACTTTCAATTTCTCGACTTGGACAACAGAACATGACCTCATCTCTTTCCACAGAAGTAGTTGATTCTTGGAAGGAGAATGCGAGACCAAAGACTAGAGATCGCCTTCCACCGGGAACTTTCACCAGGAAGCGAACTACACCTCGTCAGAGCGACTTGAGACTGAGACGACCAACAGCCAAGACCCGTCGAGTTTCCAAGGTTAGGATGCTTGAGCATCCTTCAGTAGAAATAGAGACTCAGGCGACCATAGAATCAACAGCAAGTACAAAGCCTACAGCAAGTACAGTAATTCAGTCCACCAGAGAGCCCCGGACCACTACAGAGCACAAGGCAAGCATAGAGTCCCAGGCAACCATAGAGTCCCAGGCAACCATAGAGTTACAGACCACCACTGAGTACTGGACCACCACAGAGCCCCGGATCACCACAGAGTCGCGGACCATAACAGAGTACGAGACCTCAACAGAGCCCTGGACCACTACAGAGCCCCGAACAGCCATACAATATCAGGTCACCAGAGAACTCTGGACCACCACAGAGTCCCAAGCCACCATAAAGCCCTTGGCCACAATAATACCTTACGTGACCACAGATTCCCTGAACCCTACAGAGCAAGAGAAAGCAGGTGAGGGATCAGAGGCAGGTGAACGAACGCTCTCCAATCCCACAAGGCCGCGTCGGATCACAAGCTTCACATACAAATCCATGAGCCACAAACGGCCCGGCATAGAAGGACCAAATCTCAAAGGTGCACAAATGCTGAGACCTTTTTCACCTCTCCCTGTAATTTCCCCAGCCCCTAAGGCATCGGTCTCCACCACTGAGCTTCCTGTCATCTTCTGGGAGCGTGTAAATGGGACAGGAGCTCCTCGGAAGCACATGTCAGGGGACTCGCCCCATGGCGCGCTCTCGGGGGCGTGGGAACCAGCACGAGAGGAGTGATCTTGGTACCTCTATGCTGGTCTCTCTCTCACAGTAAATCAAAGTTTTATTTATATAACACTAGGTGGGATATACCAGTGATACCCTGGTTGACAGGGGCTTTCCAGATCTGTCCCTCTGTCTATGTCTGTTTTTCTGTCTATCTTCATGTTTCTGTCAATCAGTCAGTCTCTTCCGCTATCTCTCTATTAATCTTTTTATATCTATCCCTCTCATCAAAATTGGTCTGTAATCCAGTACCCATTATACATAAAATAAATACAATTCAAATTTATATGTAACTGTTGCAACAACAATCTTGGCACCGTTAAGTGGTACTCATTTCATTTCTGCCAAGCCCAACCCGACCATGTTGGGTACGTACCCCACAGGAATCAGGGCGCAAAGGTAGATGAAGCTAGCACCAAGCTCCACCCTTAAACAGACAGACAGGCATTCATATTGATAGATATATATTAAATATATATTTTTGCTTCAACCTTTTTTTTCCCCTTCTAATTTCTCCTTCGATTTCTTTATTTTGTTCACTTTTTTTTTAATTGTGCTTCAAAATAGTTATCTTTATCTCCTGCTTCTCCAATTACATTTAAGCACTTTTTTACAATACAAATATCCTGAAGGATAAGAATATTGTTGAGTGACCTACAACTCGCAAATATTACATTAATGTCTGGTGTAGGAGCCTCTGGTCAGCCGCCCCACCAGCTTGTCAGGATGAGAGAGAGCGGCGATTGATGAGTTATTACCAGGTGATCTTGGTGCACGACTGTGGTCGACCTACATACACCTGAACACCCCAAACACCGCGTGAGATGGTGGTCTTCACTACGGAACTCTTCTCAACACTTTCCCTCCCCCTCCCACCCCTACCTCCACACACACACACACACACACACACACACACACACACACACACACACACACACACACACACACACACACACACACACACACACATTGGGGTCTGGTAGCTGAGCGGACAGCGTGCAGGACTCGTAATTCTGTGGCCCGGGTTCGATTTCCGGACCAGGCAGAAACAAATGGGCAAAGTTTCTTTCACCCCTGATGCCCCTGTCACCTACCAGTAAAGAGGTACCTGGGAGTTAGACAACTGTTACGGGCTGCTTCCTGGGTGTGTGTGTTTGTGTGTGGGAAAAAAGGAAAAGGTTCTTGCGGGCCGAAAGAGCAGAGCTCGACGTCGCGCAAGAACAACTAGGTGAAACACACACACACACTCTCACAGTGTGTACTCTCCTATCTGTACTCACCTAGTTGTGTCTAGAGGATCGAACACTGACTCTTGGATCCCGCCTTTCGAGCCATCGATTGTTTACAGCAATGACTCCGGTCCTATTTCCTTATCATACCTGGTTTTAAAATTATGAATAGAATTTGCTTCCACCACCTGCTCCTTAAGTGCATTCCATTTTTCCACTACTCTCACATATGTGTGTGAGGGGTGAGACCTCAGATTGGCGTGAAGTCACCAGTGAAGTCCTACAGGGCTCTGTACTCGGTCATATCCCGTTTCTGATATACGTAAATGATCTCCAGGAGGGTATAGACTCATTTCTCTCAATGTTTGCTGACGATGCGAAAATTATGAGAATGATTAAGACAGAAGAGGATTGCTTGAGGCTTCAAGAACACCTAGACAAACTGAAGGAATGGCCGAACAAATGGTTGTTAGAGTTTAACCCAAGCAAATGTAATGTAATGAAGATAGTTGTAGGGATCAGGAGGCACAAGGTATCATTTGGGAGATGAAATTCTTCAAGAGTCAGAGAGAGAAAAAGACGTGGGGGTTGATATCACGCCAGACCTGTCCCCTGCAGCCCATATCAAGAGGATAACATCAGTGGCATATGCCAATTTGGCCAACAAAAGAACAGCTTTTAGAAACTTGTGTAAGGAATCATTCAGAACTTTGTATATCACACATGTCAGGCCAATCCTGGAGTATGCGGCTCCAGCATGGAGTCCATATCTAGTCAAGCATAAGACTAAACTGGAAAAGGTTCAAAGGTTTGCCACCAGACTAGTACCCGAGCTGAGAGGTATGAGCTACGAGGAGAGACTATGGGAATTAAACCTCACGTCGCTGGAAGACAGAAGAGTAAGGAGGGACATGATCACCACATTCAAGATTCTCAAAGGAATTGATAGGGTGGATAAAGACACCGAACCTGTCCCCAGAGGCCCATATCAAAAGGATATCATCAGCGGTATATGCTAGACTGGCCGGCATAAGAACTGCCTTGAGAAGCTTGTGTAAGGAATCGTTCAGAACCTTGTAGACCACTTATGTAAGACCAATCCTGGGGTATGCAGCTCCAGCCTGGAGTCAATACCTTGTTAAACACAAGACAAAGTTAGAGAAGATTCAAAGGTATGCCACCAGACAAGTCCCGGAACTGAGAGGAATGAGCTACGAGGAATTAGGGAGCTGAACCTCACGTCCCTGGAAAACAGAAGAGTAAGGGAAGACATGGTAACCACCTACACAATTTTCAGGGTAATTGACAGGGTGGACAAAGACAAACTCTTCAGCACGGGTGGAACACGATCAAGGGGACACAGGTGGAAACTTTGTACCCAGATGAGCCACAGAGGCATTAGAAAGACTTTTTTCAGTGTCAAGAGTTTATAACAGATGGAATGCATTAGACAGTGATGTGGTGGAGGCTGACTTCATACAGTTTCAAATGTAGATATGATAAATTTGATAGTGTGTGTGTGAACCACTCATTGGTGGTCAGGGCGCTGGTGACTGAGTGGACAGCGCCCTGGGCACGTAGTCCTGTGGACCGGGATTCGATTCCCGGCACCGGCGAGAAACAAATGGGCAGAATTTCTTTCACCCTGATGCCCCTGTTACCTAGCAGTAAATAGGCACCTGGAAGTCAGACAACTGCTACGGGCTACTTCCTGGGGATGTGTGTGGGGGGGGGGGAGGTTCGTTGGAGAGATATGTATGTAGTAGATATATTAGAGGATAAATTGATTGGTTATAGAAAAGCAGAGTCCAAGAGCTAATGTTGATCAATTCTGAAGATACAAATAGGAAACACACACACACACACACACACACACACACACACACACACACACACACACACACACACACACACACACACACACACACACACACACACACACAATCAGGAATCTGTACACCTGTTGATTGACGATTGAGAGGCGGGACCAAAGAGCCAGAGCTCAACCCCCGCAAACACAACTAGGTGAGTACAACTAGGTGAGTACACACACACACACACACACACACACACACACACACACACACACACACACACACACACACACACCATGATCCTGTTGCATGGCGTAATAAAGTGTAAGTTTGGCAGAAGTGTTGCATGGCACTAGTGACAGGTGTGGCCTCACCCCCCCCCCCCCACACACACACAATATGGCCTCACAAGCCTCCGACTCCTCGCTCGCTGAAGTCCCACTTCAATATTTATTCATTTCTTTACACGCAGAAAACACAACAACGTGATGCATCAAATAAACAAATCCACAAAGGCCGAGATGAGGGTTCGAACCTACGTCCGAGTGGATCCCAGACACGCCTTAAATCGACTGTGCCATGACATGGGAAATAAGTGCAGCCGGGAGTTCTACTGCCCTCACACGGATCCTGCAGCCTCTCCGAGACACTAACCAGGGTTTTACACAATTCCTCCCATGCACCTGGGCTCTGTCAACAAGCTGTTCTACCTCTTCGCCCTTACTTCATTACGCCAAGAAAATTTAAGAGGGCAGTACAGTGGGGACATTCAGGCTGATTACACGTGTGGACAAACTTTTACCCAAATGACCGCCCTCGCAAGTCGGGGTCCCCCTAAACCAGGAACCACTCTACCTTCAAGAGTCAAAGTTTTTATAGTCATTGTTTCATTTCCTCTGGGCTCATCACGAAGCTACAAAAGGCGCATTTTCTTTTCCGTGTTGTGGCCCAGTCGATTAAGGGGAGTCTGGGATCCTCTCGGACGTAGGTTCGAACCCTCATCACGGCCCTTGTGGATTTGTTTATTCATTTCTTTGTTTACTAACCTGATGTCTCCGGCAGCTTGGCCGGAGACAGGAAGGTCCTCAAGGCTTCTTCATCGCTCTTTCCCATGAGATTCTGACAATCAAGTTTGAGTGTACATAATTTCATATTCCTTTAGATATTTAATCACCTTCCAGGGAAAGTGCAGATTTTAGAGATCTGTTGTTTCAATTGTCTCACCACATATAAGATTTAGTATTATTTTCTCTACTTTCCTTGTGAGGTTCGTGAAAATATATCATATATGTCGCAGGAACCATTGTGAAAATATGTATATGTTATGTGGACTTATTTATATATGTTAAAATTGTATAATTATATTTATTACGGCATTTATATATAATTTTTAGGGTTGAACAAATAGTCAATTATTTTAACACTGTGACAATGTTGTTCTTCTGTGTAGTGCTATTTTATGGCTGCTTATGCCTCCAAGGTACTGAAAATGTCTGCTGTTTTCCCTCAAGGTTTGACCTCTGCCCCACACAGCTCAGGGAAGACATGCTGAAGGTCCCAGACGGCTGGTGAGTTATGAAACAATGCGTCACAGCTCCAGATAAGACGTCGACAACCTTCAAGACATCTCCTCTAAGCCGTCTGGGGAAGAGGTCAAAGCCTGAGAGGGGACAATAGTCATTTTCTACCCAGAATCAAAATCTGTAACATTGTGTAATGATACTAGAGGGCCCATGCTCTCTCAGAGGGAACTGGTGGCAATTAGGTAAATAAAATTTGTTTATTGACTGTTATCTATCACAAAAGATACACTTTACAATTACACAATTGATATTTATTATCACAGTAGTAAATGAGTCTTATTAACTCACCTCAACACTTTATAAGACTCACTGGCCTCTGTATACGAGTATTGTAGCATGGAAACATTAACTTTTGTTAAACATTAAATGATCACATTATTATCATTTTAATTAATCATCGATAGTTTCTAGAGAGTAATTCCAGCTATCAACCGCGAAATGTAATTACTTCTGTGATTTATATTAATTTATACTCGCTGATTTTGTTTTATTTTCCTGAGTTTGTGTTTCATATCAATGAAAAACTGTGTTTATGAAAGAGGGGTTGAGGAGAGGCCGACACCACACTCTTATCAAAAGCATCAAATTTGTAATAGTTTTGCGCAAATTTAAGTGTCAGTACCTCGACCAGTCATGAGGACCGTTGTTCAGTAGTGTAACTATAAGTGTCAGTACCTCGACCAGCCATGAGGACCGTTGTTCAGTAGTGTAACTATAAGTGTCAGTACCTCGACCAGCCATGAGGACCGTTGTTCAGTAGTGTAACTATAAGTGTCAGTACCTCGACCAGCCATG